ATATATTAATTTTGTATTATTAATATCTGCCATTAGATTGTTTTCTAAAATCCTATCATAAAGTGCGACAAGTACAAATATATATTTCTACATAAAAATTGCTATAAACAGGTAAAGAATACAATGTTTTTTAACGATGAAAAAGAAAAACTTCTCATGCGTAAATATTTAATCGTTGTTTTTCCTCTTTTTCTCTTTTTTTTCTCACCTGTATTTGTTATTAGGATCGAGTAATTTTATGTACAAGATAATGTCTCGAAGTAAGGCATTCTTCATGTGATGAATAAAAAAAATACGAATAGGAACGTGTAATATGTATTAATTTATTTTTCTTTTTTCTGATAAATAATCAGAGAAGATTATTTCAATTGATAAATATTCAATCATGTTATTAATTAGATAAACGATCATTTGAATAAAATTTTTGTTTCTGTAATACAAGCATACTGTATATGAACAACTGATTGATTAGGAAAATTTTCGCCAAACTACAGGATCTAAACATATTCACTAAGGCGCATTGGGAAAAGTTTTAGAAAATCATTCTTGACAAGATAATTTGTTGACTATGAAAATTGAAAGGTAAAAAATTTTTTGTTTTTCGGCAAATAAACCAGACTTTCAAAATCTTTCTAAATACTTAAAATAGTTTTTGTTTTTTGAAAAACTTTTTTAATTAAAAATTATGGAAAGTAAATAAAACTATATTTTCTTATGTTTGTAGTTTACTGAAACGAACAATTAATTACTTCGATTGTTGATCATTAGTTAAGATTACAGTAATATCTCTAATAATGAACATTTTTTCGTGATCATCTTACTATTATAAACTCTTTAATATGGATAGACGTGTAATGTTTTTTTAATTCTGTTACCTGTCTATTACCTATCTCATATTTACTATGATAAGGGAAAAATAGAGAAAATTCTGTACTTCAAGGATATGTCAATGGTATCTTCTAGAACTTCTTACCTATTTCAAGTCTACTATCAACGAGAGAACTTTATAATACTAATCATTGTACCTTTATCCGTCTGAAATCCTGTGTGTGTAGAACAAATTAATTAGTGTGAAGCTGTGATTAAAGTAAAAATAAAACAAATGCACTTGAACTAATGCGATCTTGATAACAAACTTGAAATAATTAAGAAATTCTAAAGGATACATTTGGAGTACGTTGAATTAGCCAATTTTTCCCTTTGGTTATGACGAAGTATAATAATGAAATCATGATACGCGCTTAGTTTTCAACTAAAAAAAAATGAAAGCAATTATTAAATTAGAATGAAAATTAATTGATGTCAATATTAATTCAAACCCTAAAAACATTGAAGGATTTTTTGACAAAAAAAAACAAAACAAAATATTGTGCTGTAATTAGAAAAATCTTTCAATTGAAATTATTTCGACGAAACAAAAGAATAAAACATTTGAACTTTATTTAATACTAATATAGATTCACATATGTACGAAAGTTCTCTTCATGTTACACCCACATCCATGCGTCAATTCTCTAAACTGAATATTTTCGTGTAGCGAGCGTTTTCTAATGGTCTCCATGGTGTTCATAGAAGAGAGATTTTACTGTAATTTTTGTTTTTTATGATATCATATGTGTGTTTAGTTTGTTTCTTTTTTCATTTTTTTTCGAATATAAAAATTAAAAAGATAAATCAATTGTTTTTTTTTTTTGATTTTCACAAATCAGAAATTTTTTTGCATAATTCGTTCCATTTAAAGAAATTTTTCTATTTTGATGACAGATAATGCATTTCTGCTCGTCTGATTTCACACTTTTTGGTTTCATTTTTAATTTGTTAAATTATTTTAAACTTTTCATAGTTCCATAAATATTTCTCTTTATATAAATATATCATTATAAGCAAATACAATAAAATAAGTCTTATGATCATCAAAATTTCTCATTTGATATAATTTTTCAAAAAAAGATTAAATATTTAGAGAAACTTTATATATATATATTGACACAATTGATATTTCTAAATAAAAATCTCATAATAGAGTATAGACATATGATAAAAGTATTTTTAGACTAATCTTTCATCAAAAACATCCATATCTAGCTTACAATGCTTAATATAACACTTAGAAGTTGTTTTATTGATTAAATTTTGTTCGATATCACAAATTAAATAAATATAACAAATACATCAAGTGGTAATATATGTTATTGTTGAGATTTGTTACATACAAGCGGACGTAAATTCTTTGAAATAGAAATATTTCCAACAGACAGTCTTCACCAACAAAAGTTTGATGCAATTAGTAAGTTTCATAACCATATTTCGTATCTATTCTAGATGCAATTAGTCAATAATTCTTGATAATAAGAGACAGATATACAAAGAGAACATAAACATCAAATCAACAACATTATATCAAGAATTTTCTAAAAGAATTTATCAACGCAATAAAAAATAAATAAAGATAATTAGTTAATAGTTAGAACATGAAAATAATTAGTACAACATTCTACTATGAAATACTATCAAAATTTAATTATCAAAAAAAGATATTGTTGATTTTTTTTACATGATACTGATTATCTAGCTTACAACTAAATAATAATACGACTAGCCAATAATATTTTCTTAAAAAAAAAAACAACACAATAGTATATTCAACGGATTCAATTTTTATGCATTCTATGTCTTTGATAATATAATTAATACAAGAGTCCTTAATTGCTGCATGATACACATTAAGTAAGATGATGATTTTTTAATCAAAGATATTTTGAAAGAATACTTTTAAGACATGTCTAGAAACAAATTAATTGTGTTTAGATAAGCATAATTACTTGCGAAAGTACGTGCTAGAGCAAAAACTTGATTAATTCTATACATCGGAATTTTATTTGCAAAAATCAATACTTTTAGTATATCCACGCTAAACAATCACGCTCGTAAATGATTGTAAATCATCAGATTTTTTTCTTATAGAATATTTCGTCTTGAGTACATCGAGTTATGATTTACTAAAATTTCTAACAATATTAAATTGAAATATAAAAATCAAGAGATATTTTTGATTATTTTTTATTTAAATGTTCAAAATAGTCTTTATTTAATTATATTGAACATCGCGTGAGTCTATGGTTTTTTTTATTTGATAGATCTGTTAAATTACAATTGAAATAATCATTGAGCGAAAAACACATTGTGCAAAGTGTGGTAAAAACGGTGGATGTAATATTATATTAATACTTTCTTGTGTTAAATAATAAATAAGATTAGAATATGTCTGAGATTAAACTTTGTTATGAAGTAATTTTCTAACTTTTGCACTTGATGATTGGATTTTCGTCAACATTTTATTGACAACAATCTTTAGACAATTTTCAATATAATAAATAGTTGTGATCTATAGTCTTCTCTTTATCTACATTATCATATATATAGGACAGCATCATTTGATTTAAAAAATACAGAAAACAAAGTTTTTTTTTTAGCGCATATCTACTTTGATGAACATTTATCGTTGATGGTTCACCTTAACTAATTATCATTGAGTTGATGAGGCTGCCCAACATGATTTAATTTTTCACATCTTCATATTATTATGAAAAAAATTCGTTGTATTATAACATAAGAGAGAGAAAGAAGTGTCAACTATAATAACATCATCAGTTGAATATGAATCATTGTTGATAACCTTTCCTACCAGTTCAATATTTACATCTGTCAACGCGAAAACCGGATGACCTGATCATCAAGGATAATCATTAACATTTTCTTTTCCTTCTTGATAATGCTTTGCCCATCTTGCAACTATTCGATATGATGGAGCGTTAGATTCCAATGCTGTTATCAGTTCTTCAGGAATTATCTTTGCATCTATTCCCAAAAAAATGTTCGAATTTTAATATAATGTTGAACAAATTCATTATCGATTTTTCAAAAATCTTTTTTTCTAATGAAGTTTTATCTGAAAGAATATTATAACTGAGCCGAAAATGGATTTATTATTTATTATTATTATAGACAAAACAATCTTTTATTTATTTATGCAACAAACTCTTTAATGTGAACTAGTTTATAAAATTGCTTGTAACATTATCAGAACTATAAGTAAATAAAAGCTATTCAAGATGAAATTTTTCACATAAAAATTATTGTCATGAAAAAAGTTCATATTATTGTTTATTTAATAAACTAATGTAAAATCATTAATCCATATATAACGAGAAAAAAGTAAATATAAATAACGAAACCAAACAAGTTGAGATCGATGTTCTAACATAGCTTGATGTGGTATTAAACAATCTTTTACTGGTAAAACAAATGTTTTCATATTTGTTGATTTTCTTTTAAAATAAATTTGAAATAATTCTATTAATGTAAAATATTTTTTATAAATTGGTAATGATTGAAGTGAAAGAAAATGTATTTGACTTATATTAGATAATTTTAATAAAGCATAATAAATTGCTGAATGATTTTTATGACCACTAATACCATAATAATCAAATGATATTATTGTTGAAATATTCCATTGATTTATTGATTGTTTAACATGACCTAATATTGCATCAGAAGACCATGAAATAGATTGACTATCTTTTAAATTTATTTTATCATCAATTATTTTATAATTATTAATACGAAGTTTAATACATGAACGACGTAATTCATCAGATCGTTGATTATTTCCATTTGAAAGACATAATATATATTTATTTGAATGAATTGATAATAAAATAGGTGAAAAAAATAAACATTCATCATCTGGATGTGCAATTACTAAAAGATAATTTCCATTATGTTCATTATAATTTGTTGAAGATATTAAACGAATTAAAATAAATGGAGAAATAATTAATATAATACATATGAAGAAAATTAACAACAATAAAAAAAACATCTACAATAAGAAGAGGACAAGATTTTTTTCATTTAATTTTCTAAGGAAAAACAAAACTTCTTTCTTTTTTCTTTTTTCTTTTTTTGTTTAACTAGACGAAAGAAAAATACAAAGTCTATTTTTTTTGTGGATTTGGTTCAGGTTTAAATGATGCATGTGATGATGGTTGAGGAAGACGAAATTTAGTCATTGATGCTTCAATATCATAATAACTAAATTCTGTATAATTATACATATCAGCGGCATAATATTTTCCATCAGATTGTCCTTTGTTTGGCGATTTATCTTTAAACAAAAACAATATTAATCGATTGAATAATAATGACAAGAATTTACTTTGACTTGATGAGATCTCTTTTGTTGATGTAGAAGCAGAACGAGTAAAAACAGGAACAAACTAAAATACTAGATAATATTTTATATTGAATAAATTAATAATACGTACTCGATTATAGCAAATACGACTCAAAGTCGATGAAGAACGAAAGATTTGTTTAGAAATCATCTAAAATATATATACTCTAGATGACCCAAGTTGTGACTCAGTGTAATTTAAGTCATCAGAAATAAATACATCAAATTTTTCTCTAATAAGTTATAAATGAATAGTAAGTAGTTTTTTTTTCTTCATCGAATTTTTTTATCCTAGACACGATAAAAGTATTCTTGTATAAATCAGATATGTAGTAAAAACTACTAAGTATTTAGAGATTTATCATTGTTATTATAGATATTCTTTTTTCAATTAAATTCCCGACAAAATAAAAGAGAAACATTTCACAAGTTCAACATATCTCACAGTGGTTATAGAGTAAAAAAGAAGAGAGTATTAATGTCGACATGAATATCATTAAAAAGATTAAATATCACAAAATGAAAACTAATAGGAAAATAATTTTTGACTTTTCCATTTTTGTTCTATTGTTGACACGACGTGGTACACATAAATTATAATCCTCATGTTGATTGGTATAATCAACATACACCACAACACTGCGTGAGTATGAAGAACATAATTAATGTCAACGCGGTTTTTTTTTACACATAGAAAATTCGCAACAGATAAATTAAACTTGTAGATTACTAGAAATAAATAAATAAAATAACTACCGCCATCTATCATCATAGCATACAAATATTTTTGTTAATTAACTTTTTTCTTTCATTTAATGAATTAATTTTCTTTAAAAAATTTCTAAAAGAATTAAAAAAACTTATTTTGTTAAAGTCGCAAAAATTAAAATGAAGGTCAACTGTATTTGACAATGGCGTTATCAGTCAGCCGAAAAATCATCGAGACATCTAGACAACAAATGATTATCCGAAACAAAGAACATTGAGAAAAAAAAGAGAAAAAAAAAGTTTGTTTATTTTTTCTTTTAGTTTATCTAATGAAATCTATTATATTAATCAATAATCGTCAATGTTATCAATAAATATTTAAGTTATGAAAATTATTAAACAATCAATACATAGGAAAAACAATTCTTTGTAGAGAATGAATTAAACAAAAACAAAGAAAAAAGAAACTAGAGAATTAATTAGCAATTTGTTTTTTTTTTGTATCTATTAATTATATTTGATATATAAAGAAGAATTAAATTAATCATGGCAGATCTAGAGGCTGTATTAGCCGATGTTTCCTATTTAATGGCAATGGAGAAATCCAAATCTACACCAGCAGCTTCAGCTAGTAAAAAAATTGTTTTACCCGATCGAACGTAAATTTATTTTCATGAATTTTTTCGTTTATATAATTCTTTTTTTCTATATTTTCAATAGTGTACGAAGTGTTACACATAAACATTTACAAAAAATGTATGAAAATACATTTGACAAAATATTTAATCAACAAATCGGTATGTTATCCTTGCGTTTTCTATTATACATATATATATTTAATGGTTTTTTTTTTGTATTATCATATCGAGCTCTTTTAATTTCTTTTTATTTGACTTTCATGATTATTTATATATATTTGTAAAGATCAATAAAAACATGACTTTTTTTTTTTCTTTATCGTAACGAGAATATTGTTTGAAACAAAAAAGAAGTTTTATATGGTCGGTCAATATAAGAAATGATTCTTTTTTTTTCTATTTGTCTAATTTAATTCTCTTATATTTTTGAAGAAAGAAAAGAGAAAGACAAAAAAAGTAAAGCGATAATTGTATAATATTGATAGATTATTTGTTCTTTTTTTCCTTCTTCTCACTTTGTTCGGTAAATGATTCTCTCATATAGTAGAGAGAAAGACATTGATCGTTTTTTGTTGTTGTTGCTTTCTCGAAAATAGCAGTTTCTCTTTTCTCTTTCATAAGTGAAGAGACCATAAAAGTGTCATCTATTGTAACCCCCTCCGGTCTTCATTTCTTTCAGGTGGTGATAGTGTTGTTGATAATGATTTTTTTTTCTCGAAACTCACGCTCGTCAAATCCCTAAGGGGAATTATTTTGTGAGTGTTAAATGGTTAACACGCAAAGAGTTTAGAAGATCAATTGAAAAACAACAGATTATTATTATTTTTTTTCTTTTTTAGGATTTCTTGTTTTCAAAGAATATTGTTCAACATTATGTGATGAACCTGTGCCTCAATTAAAATTCTATGAAGAGGTATTAAAATTTATAAAATTAAATAAAAAAATTAAAATTCTTTTTGTAAAAAAAAAAAACAAAATAGATAAAACGATTTGAAAAACTTGAAACTGATGAAGAACGATGGAAAGTAGGAAAAGAAATTTATGATCAATTTATAATGAAAGAATTACTTTCAAATTCTCATGTAAATTTATTTATTTTTTTTTCTTATATTTAAAGTAATTTATTGTTTTATTAAAAGACATATTCTGAACGAGCTATTGAAAGTGTTAAAAAACATTTATCAAAATATAATCCAAATAATCCAAAAAATAGTTTACCATCAGCATTATTTGAACCGTATAAAAAAGAAATATGTGATTTATTACGTGGAAGAATTTTTGATAAATTTATTGAATCAGAAAAATATACCAGATTTTGTCAATGGAAAAATTTTGAACTTAATATTCAGGTTTATATCAATTAATCAAATTATTTTTGTTTTTAAAGAAAAAAAAAAAGAAGAATTCCTTTGTACATTTCTGTTTAGTTAACAATGAATGATTTTAGTGTACACAGAATTATTGGTCGAGGTGGGTTTGGAGAAGTATATGGTTGTAGAAAAGCCGATACTGGAAAAATGTAAATTAATATATATTTAATAAAAAACAAAAAAACTAAGTTTATTTATTTGAATTTAAAAAAAGGTATGCAATGAAATGTCTTGATAAAAAACGTATTAAAATGAAACAAGGTGAAACATTAGCATTGAATGAACGTATTATGCTTTCACTTGTCAGCACAGGAGTATGTTTAATTATAATTATTTATTTGATTAAAATTAAATATTTTCGATAATTTTTTTTTTTTGTTATTATTATTCTTATAGGAAGAAGGTTGTCCATTTATTGTCTGTATGACATATGCATTTCATACAACAGATAAACTCTGTTTTATTCTTGATCTTATGAATGGTAAAAATTATTTAAAATAAAAAAAAAAAAAAGAAGTTTTTCTATTGATTATTACATTTAAGGTGGTGATCTTCATTATCATTTATCTCAACATGGAGTTTTTTCTGAGAAAGAAGTAAAATTTTATGCAGCTGAAATTATTTTAGGATTAGAACATATGCATCTTAGATCAATTGTTTATCGTGATCTTAAAGTATTATTTTTAATATATTGAATATTTATTTTTAAATAATTATTTTTTTTTTTTCTAAATAAAATAGCCAGCAAATATTCTACTTGATGAACATGGTCATGTTCGTATATCTGATTTGGGTTTAGCTTGTGATTTTTCAAAGAAAAAACCACATGCAAGTGTTGGTACACATGGTTATATGGCACCAGAAGTTTTAGCTAAAGGTGTTGCTTATGACTCAAGTGCAGACTGGTTCTCATTTGGTTGTATGCTTTATAAATTACTCAAAGGGTATGTTTACATTTATCATCAAAAACACTTTTTTCTGAAATGTGTTATATCACTTCTTTTTAAACATAAGAAAATATTCGAAAGAAAAATAAATTCACAGGTCAAATACTCGTACCTTAGTATGGATAAGGGATGGATATGAAAAATAATGATTTAAAGAGACACAAACTTCATTTTTAACATTAGAGTTCAGAAAAACAATTGAAATCATGTGGTTTTAATAATTTGATTAGTTATTCTATTAAACTGTCGGCGATGTATTAGAGTAATGTAATCTATGAGTAGCGTACCTGTGTAGTATTATAATTTCTATATCTGATGAAGATAATATTTCGGCAAGGATATTATCTAACTGTCGATCGGTGTTTCTATAGTCTACTAGAAATTCGATATAATGCGCAAAAAAAGAAAGCGATTGTAATAGATGAAGAGCAAGAAAATGATACACTTGAGTTTGATTCTAAATTATTTATATATCCCATATGAATTAACGAAATATGTTTTTTTTTTTTTTTGTTTTAATTGTAATAACACTTAGGGAAATGCATGTTTCATGAATTTTGACACATATTGTTATTCGAAAAAAAGCTGTTTTTATGTTAAAAATCTTGATAATAAAAAATAGTTAAGCTCTAAGTTTCAATGTATTCTCATGTGAGATGTATGGGAATAATTTTCATATAAATTGAAAAAGCATCATTGTCTTTTTTGTCACCTATAACAATTATATTCTTCGATGAAACTTTTAGTTAATTTGACTAAAAGTATTAGTTTCTTTTGTTCAGATATAATATAAATATGATAACGTTAATAATTAAAAATTTGTATGAAAATTTTTAAAGTTTGTCATATTTTAAATTGTTTTCAATGTGATAATATCTTATTGAAAATAAATTCTGAAGATGAAATTAAAAATTTTATAAATATTAATTAAAAGAATAATTATGTTGACTATTCATTCTTCAATCTATTTTTTGACATTGATACTGAAATAAGACAGAAACAGAAATCTTATTTTGTTATTGACAATGAAAAAAGGCTAAAAATCCAACAGTCAGTATCTTCATATGGATGTCTGTCAGAAGCAGATTTTAAATTCTATTTCTGTCACGGTTTCCCACGAGACTATAATAAATGTTCTACAGATTGTTCCACACGTTGAAAAGGAAAAATCTCTGTCATCTCCTTGCTAATCAATATCCCTGGACAGGAAAGATAACAGCTGGATTTTTTTTCATATTCTATATTATTATCAAACATATGCTGAAGAATAAATAGTCAACATCATTACACATTAAATTATGAATTCAAAAAAAGTTAACATCATCTAAAAGAATTCATTTCATCAAAGAAAAGTTATATAATGTAAAAGTTACTAATCAACAAACGAGATATATGCAGACTTCTATAGAAAGACTTTCTCTACTTGAAATGACGTATGTTATATGAAGTGCTTTTTTTTTTTTTATTGCTGAAAAGTCAATAGGTATCGTCACTGAGTAAAACTTCTGCAAGGTCTACGAAACGTAAAATGATTCTTCGATCGGATATAGTCTCGAAATTTTTTGTACAAGAGATTTTTTAGATCTGTTGGATGAAAAGAATTCTTTATTTAAAATACGAAACGAAGTTTTATAGGTTTCACATGATAAGATAAAGGATTCATTTCGAACTTCAATAGTTTCATACTTTTCATATCGAATCCTTATTTTGTCTTGCGGATATCAAAAAGGTTTCTTAGGATAAGCCTTGAGAATGTATTCCGGTAAAGAATTATATCCGGTTTCTCACACCCTTTCTCATAAGACAAAAGGATTTTCAAATTGTATATTTTATTTAATTAACTAATAAAAAGTTTATTTAATTAAAATATTTGTATTTTTAAAGGCATAGTCCATTTCGTCAACATAAAACAAAAGACAAACAAGAAATCGACAAAATGACCATGACAATGGTAAAAAGAAAATCAAAATCTAAATATTTTATTTTGTTGTTTGTTTAATAATTTTTATTTAAAATAAAGGCGATCGAATTACCTGAAACAATGACTAATGAAATGCGCACATTATTAGAAGGATTACTTCAACGTGATGTTGATAAACGTCTTGGATGTATGGGAAGAATGTAAATTTATTTTTTTTTTTTTTTTTCGAAAATTTTTTTATTTATTTATTTATTTTTTTGTAGAGCTGAAGAAGTAAAAGAACATCCATTTTTTAAAGATGTTGATTGGAAACAAGTTTATTTATTAAAATTAACTCCACCATTAATTCCACCACGTGGTGAAGTTAATGCAGCTGATGCTTTTGATATTGGAAATTTCGATGAAGATGATACAAAAGGAATTAAAGTAAACAAATATTATATTTATTTATTTATTTATTTATTATTATTTTATTGAAATTTTTTTTTTTTCTTTTAGTTATCTGAAGCTGATCAAGAATTGTATAAAAATTTTCCAATTGTTATATCGGAACGATGGCAACAAGAAATAACTGGTTAAATTAAATGAAAATTTTTCGTTTTTTTTTTTAATCTTTTTTTGTTTTTTTAGAAACAGTATTTGATACTGTTAATCAAGAAACAGATAAAATTGAATTAAAACGACGAGCAAAATTTAAACAAAATAATATTTATGATGATGAAAAAACATCTGATTTAATTTTACAAGGACAATTAAAAAAGAATACAGGAACATTTGGATTTTCATGGCAAATACGTTATACGAAATTATATCCAAATCGTTTAGAATTACATTATGAAAAGGGTGATAAAGATCCAGAGGTAAATATTTTTATCATTTTTTTTTTTTTCTTTTTTTGTCTAGAAATAAATTCATCTATAAATAACTATAATGAAAGCACTAAGAGCTTTTCAAGACATAATGCATGTCGATCGGATCATCCGAATACAAAGAAAATAGTATCTTCAATTAACCTTGTACTTTTTTCTGGTACTAATCCAGTAGATTTGATGCTGAGTCAAATACGAAAATAATAAATGTAGCTAATTATTACATCGCTAATATGGTTAAATTTAGCCCAAGTCATTTTACCATAGAGATCTACAATGATCCATACATTAATCATTTGTTTTCAATGACATAAAAAAATAAAATTTATTGTTAATTTAAATTTCTTTTTTTAAGTTATTTTATATGTATAAAACTGAAAAGCTACTTCTTATGAATTAATTTCGAAGGATAATATATGATTTGACTCTTGCAAGGATAGTTGTTATTCAATTGAAAACATGTCATTCATTTCCTCAAATTAGAACTCATTTACCTTTTTTTAATATCATGCACCACAACATCCTAATAAATTGTGTAGAGAACGTCCTTTTTTTGAATGATTCTTAATAATATTCAATTATTTATTCTGATTTCGATTCGAAATTACCTATTTTTATTGTTTAACCATCACTTAGATGAAAGAATTTAACGAAAAATATAGTTTTTCCATCTCTTATTGGTTTAAAATATCTGTGAAAATCAATTCTAATAAAGTTTTTTTAAGTGAAAATCATATAAATAGAAAAACAAAATAATTCTAAAATAAAACAACATTTTTTCTTTTGTTTGTTGACAACAATTAGACAAAAAACATGATCCAATGAGAGATAAAGGATTAACATCGATAGTTATTTGTTGTTAAATTCTTTCAACAAAATGTCATTTGTTATCGAAATATTTCTATTCAAATATAAATTCATCATTGATTAACTAATCTTTACTAGTTGATAGAAGACTATTAATCAGACATATTTTGTCGAGAATTTCTTAATATTCAATTTGTAAAAGAAATAATTCTATGATTATATAAATATATATATTCATTTAAATGTTTTATTATCACAATATATCATAAATATTATCTTTCTAATCTATTCTCTCAGTTTATCATCGAATATTTTCTCAATACTCCTTCTTACTAAAATAAAAGAAAGTCAATCAACATAGCTGAATGATTACGTTATTGTTTAGTATTATTACATAACTATCGTGTTGAAAATTTGATGCCCGTCAGTTATGTGATAAGTTATAGCAAATGTTGAATGTGTATGTAATTTCTATCATTCTATCAACAATAGACTACATTGATCATTGAATTAACCCTTTGGGGATGACAGTACATACATTGTATCGCTTATTTTCCAATGAAGAAAGATGTTTGCTCTCTTTTATAATATTATGACCTGTAATGTAATAGGTCGTCCCATGTGTCATATCATGCATATCATTTCTTTCTTTCTGCTAAAATACACCAAAATCATGATCTTCTCTTTTCTTCTTTTGATATACTATCATAAGTTTTTTTCAAATGAAAAAAAAAAAAGTCGAACTTATGAAATTATTTCGATAGTTTTTATTAATAATCTTAAATGCAAAAAAGAAAAAATTCCATTGAAATGAATAACTAATTATTATTTTTTGTTTTTAAAGGTTTATACAATGGAACGTATTGAACATATTGATTCAAAAGAATGTAAAGGACAAAAAACTATAACCATACATTTGAAAGGTGGTAATGAACCGCGTTTAATGCTTTCACCACAGGTAAGCGTTTTATATTCTATTTAATATTCATATTAAATATTTTTGTATTGTTTTTTTACATTAATCTTTGTTATTTGTTATTATTTATGTTAATTTGCATGTTTGTGGGCTTCTTGTTATCTATCAATATCGTATTTTATATGTTGAATTTGTTTCGTTTTTATTATTAATATTTTTTTTTGTATATTGTTATGTTTTGGAAGAATATCTCTAAATCTTAAATAGGATGAAGTATCATGGATTGAATGGAAAAAAGCATTATATGATACACTTGTTGCATCACAACAACATTTAACTGTAAGTGAAAAAGCATCAAAGATTTATGGAGCTGATGTAAGTAGTTCAACATCTACAAGTTTAAATTCAAATCAACAAATAAGTTCTGGTAATTATCATAATTTATCATCATCAACCGGTGGTGCTCTTGGTGGGATAAAAAAAACTAATATAACTGCAGCCGCACTTCAAGATTAAACATATAACGCATATATATATACATATTTACAATTTAACTAAAGAAACTTTTTTTTTTCTCATTGGCATACAGTGATTTATTGTATTCTTTTTTTTCTTTATTTCTTTTATTTGTTTCTAGTCGTATATGATCACTGCGTTCATTGCTGATGTTGCTTTTGTTGTCATTTTCAAAGTCTTCTTCTTCTTCTTCTTCTTCTTCTCGTTTTTCTCTTCTAATTTTTTTCCTTTTAATTTTTGTTTTTTTTTCATTTCATCTTTCGCTTTCATCATTCTTCGAAAACAAAAAAAAAAAACAAACGAACATTTCTAGGATATCGTCTCATATCATGAATGGCGTATGGCATTGAATGATGCTTTGAATAAATCAACGTTGACACTTCATTCATCGAAAAAAATTGGACGATTATTAATGCCGACCGATAATGGACTAGCTGGATCAACAACAGCGCCCAATGCCACTCAAAAATAATTAAAAAAAAACAAAAACTTTAATCTCTCTTGCTCTATTTCATTTTCTAGTCATCTCTTGCCTTTTTTTATTTAATATCGGTGGTATGATCTGACAACAAAGCTATTCATTTCTTGTATCTTCGACTGACTTTTTTTTATGTATATGTATATATATATATATTATTTAAAAAGAGGAAACAGTGAAAAACCGAAATCTGTCTATGTTTGTCGCACAAATATACAAAGCTTTTTTTCTTTCATTGTCGTACTTCTTGTTGATGTTGTTGGTTATTTTTCATTTTTTTTTCTCTTTATTTCTTTTCTTTCTCTCTCTCTCTCTTTTTCTTTCTTTTTGCTATTTGGCCATAAAATAATTAATATCAATGAAACAATAAATTCATATGGAACTATTTTTTGCTTTCATTATTAATTAAATTTATTCTATTTCTCTTGCAGATAAATTTTTTTTTTATTGTTAAAGTTCTTTTGTTTCTCCGTCCATCAATGATAACTTATAATTAACTCTATACAATGCAATTTCATATTCTTATCGGTAAGAATTTATTTTTAGACTCAACAAAATATCTTTACAATTGTAGCGTAGCCTAAGATTGTTTTTGTTTTTGACAGTCTTTGAAAGACAATCAACACTGATTTGAAGATATATATATATATATAAGTTCTAAATAGGTTTGTTGAGTATGATAAAATGTATCGAAAAGAAATCTCGTAGGTAGACATGAATGAGACCATTTGTTTTTTCGATTCAGATGATGATTGCGATGATTGGAACTAAAAATGATCTCGCACATTTCTATTTGAGAATGTCAAAATATGTCGGAAAGGACAGTTGCTATCTAATAAATGTCATAGATTTGTTTTTGTAACTTGGATAATAAGCTTCTATTTTTAACATCAATGATTTTTATTAACAAAGGAAATTAATTATCAATAAGGAAATTTTAATAATTATCAAAAGAAAAATTCAAAAAATTTTTAATATTCAATATTATTTAGTTAATTTAATGGTGCTACCATGGTTTATAATCGGTCAAAAATCACATAGTTATTCTGGTCAATATAGTTTTCCTGTTGTTCATAATTCATCTCAACAAGAAAATCCATTAAAACAATCAACAAATAATGGTCAAATTTCTTCATCTAATTCAAATATTAATTATTTAGTTGGCAATTTCTCTCAATCATATTCATTTCTAGTTGCACCACGATCAATACAAGTAACTTATTTAAGTTTAAATGGTTATCCATTGTATATAAAGAGTATTGGATTTTCAAATAAATCAAAATTTAATTATGATGAACAAAATAATTATTTAACAATTCATTCACTTGATATAACTACAGTTGGTTATTATTCAGCTATTGATGTTAATTGGAAATCATTTACGAATATAATTAGTGCTATTAATGGTAATTTTAAATAAAGAGAACAAAAAACAAAATTATTTATTTACATTGAAATTTTCGTTTTTTTTTTTAAATTTTAGTTTCGTCACTTGAAATTCATAATTTTCATATTAGTGAAGATAATAATGATTCATCACTTGTATCATGTTCTGTATCGATAATACGTTCAACATTTAAATTATCTGAACTATCTTTACAAACAAATAATCAAATATTTAAATCAATCGATATAGAAAATTTACCACGTCTTGATTTATTTATTTCAACTTCAACATTTTCATCATCAATATTATCAAATAAGAAAATTTATAATGATACATTAAATGAACAATATTTTACACGTCGAATTATTATAGAACGTCCATTAACACGTGCTGATCATAATAAAACAATTCAATGTCAAGTTGAATCAAATAATAATATTGAAATTTATTTAATAAAAAATGTTTCAATTAATATTGAATGTAAGTTTATCATTCTGTATTTTTATTAGACACGTACTAATACGAATGTTAAAGTATATATAGTAGAAAAATTTGCATCTCTCACATATATCAAAACAGACGGGATCGATAAACATGTTGCTAACGAGCTTTTTTTTAAATCAATATCTGCTACGTTCTGTATGCATGAACAAGTGAAGGATCAACATGTTAGCTATTCATTGGCTACTGTTAGAAAAAATAAAATCAGTGTACAGTTATTTCTTGTTGTTCAATTTTTCAGCATTCATTTTTTTTTTTTTCGTCAAAAATATCGTTCTGAGAACTGAGGAAAAGTAAGATACTAAAATAATATCGTCAAAAAAAGAATGTGATTTTTTTTTAATGGTACTAATTTTTACAGGCTGTCGGCTTTCGTAGGAATAGAATTTTGAAGAAGAAAAAATGCGCAACCCACTTTGACCAAAGTACTCATTGAAGAAAAAATTGAGTCCGATCGAACATACAGTGTGAGAGAAAATGGAAGAGAAATGTTTTTTATTCAAAGATCGATTTTGAGAAAAACGAAAAACAAACTTTCTTGTATGTATCATACTTGTATCAATCAATTTTATGTATCTTCAAAAAGTAAATTAGCTATATCAGGCCGATTTAAGCAGGGAAATATTAGAAACGGCTCATTGAGAACCGTGATAGACAGCTTAGTAACACACGATGGAAAAAAAACATCGACATTAGGTGAAAAATAAAAGTAAACTTTTTCAAGATTTCAATAGTAACTTATAGACTTTGATAAAAGACCAGTCTTTTGGTAAAAAAAAAGAATTTTTATCTCTACTGCTAAATTCATTATAAAAACTTAATTGTAAAAGAAGATCAAATTTCAAAATCTTATTACTTTGTTAGTTTATAAGAAAATTTTTCGTTTTGACAAAAAAGAATTATTCGTTTTCTGAAAAAATCTCTCCAGTAAAGTTAATCACTACTTTTTCAATTAATCCAACATTGAAGAAACTTGCAGAGAATAATTTTTCAAATCTAGGACATATATTCAGTTAGTAGAAAGTCAAAATGAAAAAAAAAAAAAAAAATTTCTTTGATTTCTTTTATTTAGATGGACCAAATTTAGAAACAGGTGCATTATCAAAAGTTCGTTTAGAAAGTGAAACATTAAAAACGATGGAAATGGAATGTCAGATTGAAGCTAATCCAAATCCATCATATGTTTGGTATGAAATTTCAAGTAATATATCAACAGGAACAATGTCAGATTATGATCAAAAAAATTCTTATGGACGATTAAATACAATTGAACAAAGTGTTTTTGGTACATCAAAACGAATTGAAAGAATTTATCAAGAGAAAGGACAATATATAATGCAATGTCAAGCACAATCAAGAGGAAAAACTGTTAAACAAGAATTTTCTATTTTTATTAATCGTAAGTTATTCGGTTTACTTTTTTTTTTAGAATTTTATCAAACAGTTTTTGACTGATTTAATATAATGAAATTGATTTTAATAGAAAAATTTAAGTTATGAGAATTAAATTTTCATTTTGTTTATTTTGTCTCATAGATATTCAATATTTTATTCTTTAGATTTAATCATTTGAAAATTATATGAATTTTTTAATTCAATAAGATTTTGACTAAAGAATATTTTAGTTTTCATATCTAAGTTGTAAACAATTTCAATTTAATTATATGACAAACAAACATATCAAACACAGATTTAAGAAATTAATAGATTTAATATTCAAAAATTTACAAAAAATTTTTCTTTGAAATTAACAAAGCACGTGTTAATCTTATTTCGAAGAACAACAAAACTTTCATTTCAATAAACATCTGTTTTTCTTTGTTATATTATCGTGATAGGAAAAATATTTTCTTAAAAAACATGTGAAATAAAACAGCTGCTAGTACAATTCTCGTAGAATTAAAACGTTAAACATAATTTACCTGCTGTTTTTAGTCACATATAGATTGTTATGTTCTATCTATTTTTTGGACATATTTCTTCATCAAATTTTTATTTAATTCTTCGAAAATGCAATAAGAAATTAGTTTTTATATTATAACGAAACATTATTTATTTATATTACAGTTGACATGAGAATGTTCCGATTTATGATTAAAAATTTTTTTTTTATACAAATAAAACTTTATAAACAAGGTGAACTATTAACTGATTTAGACAAGAAGATTTCACATACATTAAACATCATAAATTAAAAATTTTAAGGTTTTCTTCGGTTTTTTTTTCTCTTCTTTTGCTGTGTTATCAAAATATCCGATTCAAAATTTATTAAGAATGATTATGTATTGTATATAATTGATTATAGTATTTAGACTACAAATTTAACTTTCAATTTCATTAGTCCTTTGTAACTATTCATTATGCTCTAGTATTATAATTATGAAATACACATGTCGCACAATTTGTCTTTATTATAAAAACCACCTACATCAATCCGCCACTAATCTGAATAAATACTTCAAAGAAAACAAAAGAACAAAATTCTTTCAAAAACCTTCATCAATCACTCAATGTCACCATATCTCAGAAATAAAACCAAATATTGTTCAAATGTCTATTCAATTGAGAAAAATAATTATATTCAATTTATGATTATTTATATGTAGAATAACAATCTAAATACATTTCTATTATCATCTAAACTTCAAATTATAATCAAATCATATGAATAATCAACAAATGTTTTTGTTTTTGTTTATACATTCGCGATACTTTTTATTACAGAATTCTAAAATGCTATACTAATCTCGACTAAATTCTAAACCCATCTATTAAACATACGATGTGTCACACTCAGTGACTTTGGGAAGCGCAGTGAAATTTCTACCTCTATACTTCAATGCTTCTCTGGAATTGTGTTTCATAAAAATTACTTTGTTTAAATAGATGTCAATCTCTTAGGAAATAATTACAAAATTGTGCACACTAGTTGTCAATGTTCACTTTTATTTTAAGTTATACTTCAACTAAGTAATTCTTTCTAGATATTAGAAGAGTTGGGACTTTAAAAAAAAAGAGTCCTTCGTACTGTATATTAGAAATTACGAAAGAATAGAGAAGAGAAAACAATAGTTTATGTCAAACATGGAACCGATCGGACATCGGTATTAGTTCTATCTGTAGCTCATGTAAACATAACAGAAATATATTTTGTTCGAAAGAGAAGGAACATGTTATTATCAACAAGAGTGAAAACGAGAGAAAAAAAGATTTCTAACGAGTAGAGAGTGATTGATATTAAACTTCATTTGTATCAATAATTAATATAGATTTAATAAATAAAAACATAGAAACTCACATTAGTTTAAATGTCATAAACAAAAACTAATGCATAAAAATTCATAATAAAAGATTCAAAGTTTAAGTCATATAGAATTATATTTTAGTTGTTATCTCAAAAATATTTCATCTGATTGAAAGTATCTTCACATAAAACTTATATTCATTTAAGATTCTGATAAATTAATTCATATTTATTGTTTCATAATGTCTCAATAAATTAAAGTTAGAACGTAACAATGAATATATTTTGTAAGCCTAATTCATAAAATAAATAAAATAACTTTAATATATATTCATGAAAAATTCTTTCTAACTTGTTTTTTCTTTTTAGCACAATCAACTTCTATGAAAACTAATTCATATATAGATTTAGATCGACAAAGTATGTTTATTAAATATTATATTTTTTAAGGAAATATATATAATGATTTTCATAGAATCATATAAAATTCCAGTGTTACTTGCAATAAGTATTGGTATTATTTTACTTTTACTTATTCTTGCAATTATTATCGCTACAATTATCTTTCTAAAACGACGAGTAATAAATCCAAATGAAAAAAATTCAAGTAGTATGTTTATTTTATTTTCTTATATTATTCATTTTTTATTAAAAAAAAAAAATTTTCTTTTAGCTGAAAAATTATCAGATGAGTAAGTTGATTTTTCTCAAAATATAGAAAAAAAAAAAAAAAAAATATTTCTTTTTATATTTATTAGTAAACAAGGAAAATCTCGTTGGGGTAGTTTACCAATTGATTATTCAAAATATAAACATGAATCATTAAAAACTGATTCATCATCAACATCACATTTAGTTGAATCAGTTGAAACAACTTCAATTCAACCACCACCACCAATACCACCTCGTCCATCTCCAATGATAAGTACTCAATCATCTTATCGTCAAACTCCATTAACATCAGTCTCGCTTTCATATCGTCAAGCAAGTGCATTGCCTGGTTTTCGTCCATCATCAAATCCTACACGTTCATTTTCTCCTGAACATGATGATGCTGATGATATAAGTACAAGTATTAATGCAATACCATTAACAATAAATCGTTCACGAACAAATACACCACTTGGTTCACATAGATCTCTTTCAGAATCAATACAATCATTAAGATCAAATCAACAAACAGGAATTTCATTACCTATCAAAAAACGTTTACATGATTTACCACCAATTCTACCAAAACGTGAACAAAAAACACCATCACCTAATTTATTTCAAGCTAAAACTGATTATCAACATCATCATTATCATAATCCAACACAATTACAAACACAACAACAAACAAAAACTGATAATACATCATCTGAAGATGAAGAATTTGAACAACAACAAAATAATCAAATATCGGAAGATTCAATGGTATGTAAATTTAATTATATAAGAAAATTATTTTTTAAATTTATTATCATCAATTTCTTTATTTTTTCAATTCATAACAATATATTTGTTTTTAGTTTATTCCTAAAAAGATAACATTTCGTATGGTAAGTCATATTTCTACTCATGAGACAAACTACGATGAACCCATATGCACTTTAGATCATATTGAAATTATAAGGAAGTATTGATAAGACTAGAAAAAGTCTCAAAAGGTTCGTACTCATGGATGTTTGATACCGAGTTAGAATTATTTTATTAGATTTTCGACCCAGCTTCAGATATATACTTATAAATAAAGAGAATAGAATTTCAACGTAAAATTTTGTCCATAGACAAGTCAAATGATCTATAGAATACTCTGAAAATTTCTAAAAATAATAAAGTTTTTTTTTTTTTTACTGAGGTATTGAGCTTTCCGGTAAACCCAGCTTTTGAATCATGCCAGTATCAAAGGATTATTTTTTACGATAATTCGATATCTTGATAAAAGAAGTTTTGTTTTTTTTTTCCTAGCAAAACTGAACGATTTCCTTCGTTTTTTCGCTCACCAAGTCTCTCAACGACGGTCTCTATCTCTGATTTTGATAATTTTGAGACATATTTCTGACTAGATTTCACGTCGAAATCCTACATTATTAACTTTTTTGTATATGTCTAAAATCAGTGACTGAAAGTTTGGCAGAAAATAGTTTCATTGTCGAAGTGCTAGAATTTATGACCGGTGGGAAGAACGAGACCCACAACAGACGATCTGCTACCAGGTCCTTTCCCCTTTCAATCCTATTCANTAATGCTACATACCAATAGAAAAGAATTCAATTTTAAATTGTTTATATATGCCATCTTTTAGTTTTTCGATATTTTTATACGTTCGATATGTTTTCTTTCGATATTATCACCTTTCAATCATTTTTTTTCTTTCAGTATTTTTTTTCGATCTTTTTCATTTCGACATTTTTAGTTTCGGCCTTTTTTATGTATGCCGCAATATCTATCATTCAACATATTTCTTTTTTCATTTTTTCATTTTTGCTTTTTTTCTTTCTTTTTTTGTCTTGATCGATTGGATATGAATGATATAATAGTTAAATTATTTATTATTGTATTTAATTATTCAATATCTATCTGATGATGATAATACTACAATGAAAAAAACATCGAAATATCATATATTTATGTTATTTTACATCCTTTCATATTTAGTTCGATTCTTTTGATTTATTTCATTTGATGATGTATTATAATACATTTTCATAATTATATAGCTGTATAATAAACGATAAAATAAAGCATGATAATATTGTTCTAGTTTCTTTGTCATAGTAGAAGCGACTAGTATTAAACTTCATAGTTATTTTAGCACTAAGTAAGTCAAATAATTTATGAAAGTTTCAAAATATTTGCTCTTATTGTATGCAAGAATGATGAGTTTCAAAGTCATTTGAGAACTTTTGATATCTTCTTAATATGTATATAGGGAAACGAAGAGAGAAGTGAGTCAATATTTTGTCTTTTTTTTCTCTTTCTCTCTCATTAATATTGGACAAAAGTTGCACATATGTCAGCCACTTATTATTCTTTTTTTATCACATACTTGCTATGCAAATCATGCTATTGTCTGAATTAATACAAGTTTTTTTTACTTGCTATCTATCATCATACAAGGTCTCCTCTCTTCTCTCTCCACACAACTACTCTTCATCGGTCATGAACGAGTGATCAACATTTTTTTCGAGCGTTGGCTTTGTCAATGGAGTATAATCCATATATTATTGCAAAGAAAAATATGTACTTCACACGCTTCACTGATTTGTGCAGTAGAACAGGTATTTTTCTTCAATATTTCTATCGTTCACGATGAATAGATGTAAAATGAATAGAGCACTGTTGTGAAGAGTCACAAATTCATTTTCTATTAATAATATCTTTCGATATCCTAGTGAAATTCGATGACCGCTGCCTCCTCATATGAAGGGATGATATTACAGCAAAAAAAACACATATGAAAATGTACACACATGTTTTTTTCTCGTCAATTCTTTGTTATAGTATTGTTCTTCAACTAGCTAGCTTCGGAATTAATTTAAATGCATAAAATAAAGAATATTTTTGATAGATCAATTTTATTATTATCGAGTGATGAATAAATATACAAAAAATGAAGCAAAAAAAGAGTGAAGAATACATATTAAAAAAAAGATGAACGCAAAAAATATGTAAAAGAAATTCAGATTCTCAATGATTGATGGCCTTGAACGGCAGTCTCTGTTGATAAAGTATGCAATTGATTATTTGAAAGAAAAAACGAAACCGTTGAGCTGAGAAATAAAAAAGATATATGAAATTAAAAAGCTCTGTTATTCGTTATATTAAAGTCGCAGGAGCAGAAATTTAATCGATTATGATGCATATCAACATCATCAAGAAGAAGAGTAAGACAATAAAATGAAAAAGAAAAAAGAAAAAGCACATATCCAAGTCGATCAATGACTTCGACTATTCAGCACAAAACAGATATCATCACCAACATCAAGACACATTGTATCAAAGAAAATCAATACTAAATTTATTTTATTGATCTCACATATGTGTATGTGTCCAGTTCTGTAGGTTAGATTATCCTTTTTTTTCTTTAAGTTATAGTCGCATCTTTTAATGATAATTTTTTTTACTGAAGATGATTTTGTTTTGATTTCTCTTTCTTTTCTCTTTTCTGTGTTTTTTTTTCGTTCTCCAGCTATCTACACGTGTGTATAGAGAGTGAATTGATATTTACATGTTTTTTTGTTTATCGATAATAACTGTTTCATTTTGTACAATGTCGAAGTTTTATTCAAGGAGAAAAAACGACAATAATAAACTATCAGACATCGCTATGCTCTTGAAAGTTTGATTAAAATTGTAGCTTTTACATAAATCTAATCAAGTTCATATATTACAGTAATAAAGGAAATAAATTATAAATATCTTCGAAGAACCAAAATAAAAGTAAAATTGATTTGGTTTTTTTTGAATGCTTCTATTTGACAGAAAAGAGACAAATCGATTCATCATCAAATGAGGATTAAATAAATGAAAGCATAAAGCCAATCAATCTGATCATTAGAGTCGATCTCAACCACTTTTTTTCTACTAAATTTATTCTTTGCAGACAACATAAAGCTTGTGTTCAACGTTTTCTATTCAACCTCTAAATCCGAATTTTAGTCACCAATAGCGTCATTGATTTGGATTGGTAAAAAAAAAAGACTACTGTTTTATTTCATCTACTACGAAGTGTATTGTCTAATTGAGCCGAAAGATTGATTGACCGTTATAGAAAATGAAAATTTATGGATTAGAATGATGTTTGTTTCTGTACGAAACATTGAAACTTCTATTGTTTTTCTATTGGTCTTTTTCCCCCTTGTCTGTTTTCTTTCTCAGTCCATTATCTTGAGTGGTGATAGAAGTGAGTAAAAGTTGATGCCCATAGCATCGATAGACCTTCGATATTTTTTTTCCATCCGTCATTTTTATTCTCACTGTTCACATCTTGCTTTTTTATCTTAATGGCTAATTCGTTCTAAGAGAACACATATTAAATTGTTAACTAACATTACATATACACGGTCCATTTGGGACGCTCTCTCACTCTTTGTCTCCATCCTGTACTAATCGTGAATACTAATTTTAAATGTTTGCCTAAGCCCAGACACGTGTGATTCGATGAGTAATCAAGCTTACCGAAATAATTGGCACTCTCTCTCTCTCTCCATTTCAACGACGCTCTATGATCAACAAGTGTTATATCTATTTCACATGCATCCAACAACTATCTATTGTGTAAATGAAAATTGTGTAGCTTTTCATGCTATCTATCTCAAATATATCGTTTATAGACAAGTGATGAAGAGAATAGACCACCAAATCTACTCATAAAAATTCAAAAACACGATCTTTCCTTCTTTCAATGTAAGAGCAGCTCTTCTAAAATTTTACCACGAAATAGAGGGATTTTTAAATGCGTAACAGCCACAGTCTTCAGGAAAGACATGTAAACAGTCCTATATCAATACAGCAATGGTTACTAGTTTTTCTTTATCTAGCCGTCACCTTAAGCACAATAAGTTTAATACAATCTTGATGGGATGTTCCATTTGTTTTTCTTTTTTATTCTTGTTTTTGTTTCTTTTATTTCTTTTTTATATTTGTTCTTCTTTTTCTATCTTGCGCTAGCTGCTTTTAGATTATAGAAAAAAAAAATATCGGTTGATTATTAAATTTTATTGAAGACTAAGAAATACTACAGAACAATGAAAAAAAAACTGAGGAAAATGGAAAAAATTTGAGATGAAATGGAAAGAAATTAGTAAAAATGAAAAAATATAAATATTAAATAAATAAAATGAAGGAAGAAAAGCAGATTAACTAAAAATAAGAAATGAAATGTAATTCAAAATAGGTTAGAATAATGCTGGGTTGAGTTTGTGTTTTCTAAAAAGAAAAAATATATTTATTAACTTTTCAGTAAAAATGTTATACAGGTTTAACTTACTGGATTTGTTGGTAAGGGATCGTTGAAATATGTGTCTGATGTAGACAAAAAGTATCCGAATTACCGTTTGATTCTATCTCATATAGTAAACAAATACTACCAAACACGATTGTATTCATCTCCAGTACTGAATCCCATGCGAAGCATCAACATTAATATCATTAATCACGTTCGTATACAAAGTAAACGCTCCCAAGCCAGACCTCATACCATTCCCACTTTACTTTTAACCCATAACTATGAATTAAATACCAAACGTACCCAAACTATGGCAAGTAAATAATGCGCACGAAGGATTCATTCTTCTATAATCATCATGTCCATAAAAAGCCATAGCTTTAGTAACTTCAACGCAGCATCATTCCACGCGACATCTACCTACGCAATTTCTTCTCACCTATTCCGTTCATTTTTCCGTCCTCATCGGACAATACCAATCATTATTTGACACCACATTACAACTGAACCTCATCATCTATACTTCCATTTACCTATATCAGTGTTTCCATAAGAAGAGAACATTAAAATATTTTTATCCACAACTACCT